CATCGTAATCCCTCTAATGTAGCTTGCAAAAAAAATGAATTAACACACCATAACCAATTTTCTTGTTTTGCTAGCCTCAAGTAGCGGATCACCCGTGTTTTTCACTAATTATACGTGGGTAACAAATTTCAGTTGAAATGTGTTTCAAAACTATTATACTTCGTGGTGTGAGTGGTGTGACGTTATGGTTGTTGAGAGTTGACGTCAAGTTCGACAGGCCTTTGAGTCACAAAAGATTTCTTACATCATGTTTTTGTATATATTACATTATGGGAAACAGTATCAGACGAATAAAACGTGTCTATTATATTAGAACACACCAGTGCATAGTAGCATGATCGTCCAATTTTTCATGATAAATTACTACTAGGAATAGCATTTAACTATTGTTATTGTTTTAGCACTTGTGATGCATTAAATTAAAACTCATCTGCAGATGATGCGAATACTTTAATTATCAGCTAAATCGGTGATAAGAAATGATATAGTATAAATTATTTAATTCCCTCTGACGAAAATGTCATATGAAAGTAAAATTTCAAACATTAAAGTGTAATAATTTATGTTATATTCATATTTTAATATTTGATATTTCCTTTACCAACCACCAAAACAAAAATGTCTCGAAATCATTACACCTTATTTTTATATGTTAGGAGAGAATCTATTAACAGGTATGCACTTTTAAATATTATTATTAAAAGGGATAATTACAAAAAGGAATATTTTTTATCACTGGAAATACAGTGATTTCAACTAAACCACAAAGGTAATAAGACATATTATTAACGATTTTTTGTTCGAAAACGTGGGCATTACCTATACACTTTTAGTTGAAAAAATATTATTTTTTCGCACATAATGTGTTAGGTACAATGATTTCACTTACTTTTATGTTTCGAGTTTCCTTTCCATATAGATTTAAGTGACAGTGGCATTCTGGCAGTAGGTGATCCGTCTATTTTTATTGACTTTATTCTATTTTAATATTTATATTATCTCGGTATACTATATACTCTTAAGCCTATATTATTTTAATAAAATGCTATGATGTAGTATTACGACTACGATAATAGAGAGACGTACAAAGTCCTCGACTGTTTGTCGCGTACGCACGGATTACCGGAACTCTCACCGTACACTGTGTGTGTAGTGTGAACAGTGTACATAAAACGACTGACGAACAGCGGCGTGCGCGTGGAGTCTCCTCTCTCTCTCACTCGCTCTCTCTCTCATTAACACACACATGCACCCTCTCCCTTCCACTCTCACTCAAACCAATTCCCTTGAATGCGACCAAACAGCTGTGGAAAAGTTCTTCTCTATAACAACAACAACAAGCAATACAATATGAGAAATTACACAAACGCGCACGCACACACACACATACACGTCGTATTTGATTTGCATTTGACGCCGCATAATGTTATTATCATCCCGACGTAATAATTATAGGTACATAGTTTATATTAATTTAATGCAGGGGAAACTTCGAAATGAGTTGGACAAATACTTAATTGATTTCACTTTCAGTAAGCTTTCAACCGATCAATTCGCTACCCAAATGTGAAATTCGATGCTTTAACCGGTAGTTGGGTACGCGGTACGATAATATTACGACAAAGGAATTCCTCGGGTTTTTCTGTCCGACTACATTATGTTAAACGGTACTCTATAATATCATGACGTCAAGACGTTCTGAATAAGTTCTACAAATTTTAAATTGTTTCTAACTCGGCATTATGCGTCATTAACTAGATGATCGGCTATCTCAAAATGTTTAGTTTAACGTTAAACATCTGGCATTAATTATAAGTTTAGAACCAGACGTAATGCCTGTGTAATTATTTTTACTTATTCGGTATAATATATTATATTATATTGAAATATAATTAAAAATGTTTTCGTACTTTATAACTAGACAGCAGCATATATAATTATTACTAAACAATACCAATATAATGTATTTTTAATGTTTACCTTTTTAATAAGTACTATATAAAATAGTATATAGGTAATACAGAATTATATTTTGATATACTAAGCCTAAAATGACTTATATTAAATTAAACACCGTTTTAGGTACATATTTTAATACATTTTAGTTATTCTAAAAAACCACTATTGCTTGAAATTTCGAACTTTTAACCATCATAACTCATAAGTATTAGAAATAGTAATTGTTTTTAAACCGTGTAGCAATATTTTGGAACTAGTACCTATATTAATACTTAAACATTGTGTGCTACTTATTGGTCCATTAAACGATCTCTATGTCTACAGATTTGAAGTAAAAAATATGGAACAAAGGTAATTTTAGTAGAAAACAACAAAATAACTAATGATAGGAACCTACAGAAATTTCTTTTAAATGTGAACATTTAAAAACGAGGGCAAAAAACGTTATCAACGTGTAATTGTAATTTGTAATGATAGTAACGAATGCTATAAATTATAAAACAATTAATAACTACGAACTACCTACTTAGAAAATATAGAATACATTGATACAAATTGTTTAATAAATATATTTTAAGAGTATAAGCATTACACAAAAATTATTTCAATATTTGTAATATAATTGAACTGAAGTCTGACATCCTGCTGGTCCGATAGCGTACACACTTTCTTCTTATTTTCAAAAAAAAGTATATTTAAGTATGTTTTAAACAGATCATATTTTATTTTCCAGTCTGCAAAGATTGGATTATTAATTATTAGTATAAATGTATGGTTGTTCATCACTTGTATCGAAACATTTAGAAGTAAAGGAGAAAACATTATTATTAAATATAATTTATTATAGGTAGGTACATAAAACATAATATATTTTTATTTTTTATGAATAGATTGAATAATTTTATATCAGCAAAATTAAAAATATGTATATATTAATATAATATGTATTGTTTTAAAAAAATATACATAAAGAAATTTGAAATAACGCTGAATCATGCAAATTCAAATAACAAGAATATTTTTTGTTGTGATGTTGTTTTGTTACTATATTATTAATTAACTCAGGTATTTTACTATTATTATAAAAATAATTATGTGGTGATAATAATTATGTGCTCCTATTTTTAAAATATTGAAGCCTATGTTTCCATTATTTTATCTCTTCAGTTATCTTCACTAACTACTCAGTAATGATCTCAATACTTATCTTAGACAAACGTGTTTCGTTGTATATTGGTTTATAGTTTATACAAGTGCCAGAACGCATATTATTGTAGTAATAGTCGGTAAGTTGGAGATAACTAGGTGGTAATATATATATGATATTCTAAAAAAAATTATATTCACACAATAAAACCTAACTACGTATTTTCATTTGATATTTTCTGTAAATACTTGCCAACGGTAGGTATATATAAATAGTTATACGTATAACTATGATACCTATCCACGTTATATTATTATCATTTATCAACAGTTTTACTCAAACATTCAATGTATAGAAATATAATAATTAAGTGTCTACAAAACTACAAATCTACAAATATGATTAATAACATGGTTTTTAGATATTATGTGCTTGTGGTAATCTGAAATGTAAAATAAATATTAAAATATTGATTTATAATTAATAAGAAATTAAACAAAAATAAACAATAGGTATTTAAAATGGTTGTATTAAATTTGTTTTTTATTAATACAGGCAAAATAAATTATGAATAGTATTAAATTATTATGAAAGATACTGTCAACGCTAAATTTGTGCATAAAATGAACCAGATATAGTAAAGTTATTATTTGTATTGAGAAAATATAACTACCTATTGATTATTGTATATTTATTTGTTATTGTTTAAATGTTATATACGTCTATTAAATTGAAAATTCTGTACATTTGTTTTACCATTCTTGCCATCATGTTTAATTTTGATATTCTGTAGAAGTAACGGTAACAATAGTTGACACACATTTTAAAACATAAATACATATTATAAACACATTTTAATATAGATGATTATTCAGAGAACTGTGAACACAATATTTGCACATTTTAACTTTTAGTTTTACTGATTATAATTAATATACACATGTGATGTACTGATGTGTATATATTACATATCGCCAATAATTATAGTCTCACAGGTAGCAGTGTAATACTATGGCTAAACATTATTAGCCATGTTATTAAGCCAGGATTAATATATATTTACACGATGGCCGATAGGTAGTTTTGGCCTTGCACACCAAAGGTCCATGGATCAGTTTTTTAAGGGGCCTCATAATGAACGGCCTTGGGCCCTGTAAAGAAAAATTGCTCCTAAAAATTAAGTGTGGTTAAATATTTTGATAAATACTTTACGGGGTTCTTAATTCCTATATAGACCAAAAACACGCCTAAAAAATAAAAAATTACTGGACCTTAAATAAAACGAAGGGACCCCAGCGGCCTACCGGTCATGACCATACTGACACTCGCTGATGATATAGGTACATCAATACAAGCCACTATTACTACTTACGAGTTAGGACGAGTATGTATTTTTGAAACTAGATATAGACACACCATAGGTACAATATATTATTAACAATTAATAATTATACAATAATTATTATCGATGACATCACCAAAGTTAATTTAATTAACTAAAATTATAATAACATATTATCAATATTTTCAAAATTCTTTGTTTTATAGTTGAATAATAAGATAAAACGCAGAATAAAACCTCTATTAATCTACCTTGGTGTACACACGAGTGATTGATTACAACGGTCTGTGCTCGAGAGTTGATTAGAATCATAAGCTATAGAAAAATACATATTAATCATTATGACTATTATACTTAGGTACCTACCTAAAAAATCAAATATCTATATAGCCATATAGGAAGTGTAATTAGTTAGAATTTAATAACTTATAAGTATTAATATAAGTATTAGTATTAGTATTTATAATAGATTTATCATTTCACCATTCATTCGAAGTACCATTTACGATACTTAATTTTACTATAACAACATAGGATTAAAAAAAATTCTGTTTATTATGTCGATGTTATAAAAAATAATGATTATAGTTTTGATTTTTACAAGCAAAATTAGAACAGCAAATATCACGATACTTCAGCTGGAATTAAGTCTTGCGGGAAGTGAGTATATTGAGTTGCTCATGATTTATAAGAGTGTAATAATGGGCGTGTTTGAACTTTTAGAGTATAAATTTACGAGCAAACACGGATATGGTTTTTAAAAAATGCGCTCTATCATCATTGTATTGCTTACAGCAGGGGTCGGCAACCTTACAGGATGATTACTTTAATATTTCAATATATTTTGTGCGTTGAGGTTTTCATAAAATTATCTGAACACTATTTCTGATACACCTACTTAACTAAGGTATGTTTTTTACTATTAAGACATAATAGTCATTATTACAATCTTACTTAAAAAATTAAAATTAAATAAACATTTTTATTAAACCCAAAAATGTGCATGTTGATATCTATACCTAGTGCATATTAGTTGTATTAAATTTAAAACGAATGATTAATTAAATATCTATGCACAAATAAGTAAAAAGTTATTTTAATCTAAAATGTAATCAGTCATTACTCATTAGTCATTACATAGTGTGTATTGCAGAGTATTTAATATCAAATTACAATTGATAACCATTGTTTTAGTTGTGAAATATAGCTTAAAAATCTTGTACAAATAAAATATTTTAGTGGTAAATATACACATTTTTATAGTCAAACAACTATTTAAATAGGTACCAGTAAAATTATTTTCGAAAACAACAATCGAATAAATTAACATAACAATAAATAGGTACCTGTAAGAAGTAAAAAACAATCTTGATCTGTGTCGATTAAATAATAAACTTATATTTAAAATTATAATATTAGGTACGTATATAATACGCACATGACAAGGGACAAACTTAAATTTACGAGAAACAATAAATAATAACATCCTTAACAACACAATAGAGTACCTTACGTCATATTTACGTATTGAATATAGGCAGGTACGTGTAGTACCTACTATATAAATATCTACAGCATTTCGGACAATATAATATTATATACGCGCAGTGTAATAAAGTTAATTAATTCGATGTGTTAACAATTAATAGCGACGACTACGACGATGTTGATGACGTGACGAGCAGGTCTGATTAAATAATACTATTATTATAACGTTATAGACACGGTGCAAGGTCGTCAACAGCTGCAGTCGGTTTGCTTGTAGGGAAAAGGACTTTGGTGGAATATTCATCTTTATGCATCGTATTGTTTGTTCGAACCGAATATCACACGTGAATATCATGTGATGACGACACCGAATACCACCGGGAATCTTTTGTCGTCGTAGGAAATCAACGGTTATCGGTTTCGAAACGTTATCGTCGTTTATTCGAAACTGCACTACCTACGCCGCGGAGTATACTGAAATACCAACTCGGTACTATAAAAACTATTCTACGTTTTCACGTACGTAATATAATAATTTAACCGACTGTGTTTTATATCATATTAATTATGCTTCCTACTTCCTCTTAACTAAGTGTATTGTTGTATAATTTGCTACAAGATTGCTATAGTGGTTTCTTTTATGTCACAAGATTATTTTATGAAACTCTAATCTTTTTGTACCTACACCTACCTACAAAATGTGTGATATTACATTATCAGCGTTCGCCCTACGATTAATACAATCGTGGATAAATACATCCACTCACGCAATTACAGGCCGTCGCCATAGTTAGCTGATATTATATCCTAATTGTGTCTAAATGTATTACCTATATTATCAATAAATAATAATTTCTTAAATGCTTGTTTTAATAATGTTATTCGTCCGACATTCAATGGTATATAATATACATTATTATTCTGCTGGCACTGCGATATTTTACAATACTGTATGTAGGTATATGTATTACTGGTAACAACATGTGTTTAATGTAAAAGTATACAACTTATGATCAATTTTAGGTCTACTTTCTTATAGGTAATTTATTAATTTCTGAGAACACGGTATCAATAGATGTTTCACTACGTATGTATGATATGTAGAACCAAGCAATCAAACCTTATTTTCTCTTTTAATACTGATCTTGATGCTTCAATTTTTGCTGTTCCCAAAAAGGTAATACTTTTTATGTAATATGTTTACCAAAGAAATATCACCTAATTAAAATGAAATTGTATCTATTTTTTGTTTTTACCTAAGTTACATTACAATATTTTTCTTTAACACTATTGGCGCAGATAAAATTATGTTAATTTAATATTTATTATAGCATTGTTTCAAGACATGTTTACATAAAATATTATAATTACGATAGAACAATACAAATATTATTTCACCTATTTTCAAAAATATTTCATCACTAACAAGTAACAAACCAAGTGAAACTGGGTTGACTACCTATGTGTCAACTCTTATAACATATTATATTATTTATGACACCGTTCTCATTTCACTATGAATTTAACTCACTAGTTTTAATTATCATATCTTATACAATTACATGTTATCTATGTAAGTATAAGCGGCAAAATATGAGCTCATTGCTCACTACTCATTAGTATCTTATCTGGACGTGGGATACGGTCATGTGGCCGGGAAACGTAGGTAGGTTATATTATATGTTAGGTGTGATTAAATAAATACCTAAATAATATACTTTATATTTATTATTACCATCAATACCGTAAATTTAAGCGTAATGTTTAAAAAAAAAATAACAAATCCTTGAATAAAAGCTCAGAAATATCCCTATCTCTGGACCGGGAACCGATCACAAGGCTCTCGTTCTCCGGGCATGATGCTTGACTACCAACGGTCAACTATATTATTATAAGTCTGTAAGTTGTCCGTCAGTTACGTCTGGTCACCAAGTTTTGAACAATTTATATTGGTATTGCTAGTAAATAATATTGACTTAACAAAGCGTTTAAAAAATGTGCATGGGTGCATACGCGCGGACACTAGTTAGGTATTTAAATTTTAAATATTTTATTAAATTTTAATTTATTCTTCAAGAAGACGATGGGTCCCGCTGAACATGTTGATGTGTGTACACTCGTTTTGCTTAGGGTATAATATAAAATAGAGGATATTATATAACTATTATGAGTTATGAATCTAGAATTATACAACATTAATAATATCCAGCTTTGTGCCTTGGTGTAACGCGGTGTTTGGCCGCAGTCCCTAATGTGTGCTGCGGTCAAGCGCAGTTCGGCGTCGCTGGCTCCTGGATGGGTGACCACCTGAATTCTTGGCGACAAATCCTTGCTACACATACAAACAACTAACAAGTGTGAGGGTAAATACCAATTTAAAAAATATTAATACATTTTAAATAGACAATAATATATTAATATGAAAACCCCAGCTAGGATTTAATTTAATTTTCACATTTCAGTGCACCATATTACACCATATATCAGTAGCGCACCAAACAAGGTTGACTAGGAATCCACTTTGCAGAATATAATAAAATATATAGTATGCATTTTAACCTGTTAATCTAAATTTGTTATAATTTCTTATTAATAATTGTTATGCTATATTGTAAAATACCATATGGCGTAAATAACTAAAATAAATAAATAAAATTGTACTGTAATTAAATATTGTTTCATTTTAACAACCTATGGCTATATAATATATATAGGTTAGTAGCATAGGTATTACTATGTATTTTTTGGGTTGGGTAAGGGTTTAATACATTTTTGTTTTCCGTTATTATTGACCACACTTATACATCTATAGAAAATAGTTCTTCCTAAAAATATCGTGGAGGGGAGTCCTCCTTCACCCATTAATACGATACTACTATATGTACCTAATAAATAATAACTATTATGTATTATGACATTTTAATGAACGTGTTTATAAAAAAAATCTTAGTTACACCATTATTTTTTCATCTTCTTCAGCAGCTTTACTATACGGTCCATTCAAGACCCAACTGCCATCAGCAAGCTTCTCCATTTTTCTCAGTTCAAAGTTCAGTATAACATTGCATTTTCATCTATCAGTCTCATATCTTTTTCCACGGTATCTTTCCATCTTGTTCTTAGTCTTCCAAGTGTACTTTTTATACATATTTTTCCTATCGGAACATTCTTTAACGCATCTCCATCAGCTCTTCACACATGTCCCAGCCATACTCTATAAGTCAGAATCTTATAAATGTGAATACATTGGGTTTTTCATATAGACCATACAGCTCTTCATTATGTGTATTTTCATATATCCCTAGGTCATCACCACTACAAAATATATATTGCAATTCCTATTTCGTCAGTACAGAATGTTGTTTATAAAAACGTTTATTGTGATTCACAAAGTATAAACTGTAGTCGTCTGTGTTCTGTCTTCCTTGTACCTACCTATAAAATTTAGTTTTGTGTGCAGAACGGGAAACACGACATTATTTAAATTAAACTATTTTGTAAAAATCTGACAAAATCGCTGAAACCGGTATTCTTAAAAAAACCGTGACCCTTATTTTTTAAAGGCCAAGGTTTCTATAGTTCTTTGTCCGATCAGAAACCTCTCCAATCGCCATGGTTAACAAACCGTAACGTTCCGGTATGATTATAAACGGTTCCACGGCGTATATATATCATGGGTAGATTCGGTTCTTTTACTTTAAACGAGTAGCTCTGATGACAAACCAATAATCCTTTTTTTTAAATAGGCGACATTTTAATTGCATCATTTACTATAATTACATTTTAGCAATTTATTGTTACCCCTAGGTACTTAAAGTATTTTTTTTATTGAGAGCTAAATTACATCACCGTTATAAAAAAACATTTGTAAAATCTTAGGTAAAAAAAAAAAATATTGTGTTGGGATCATTTGTAGAATTGATATAATTAAAAATAAAACCTCAAATGAAATAATTATATACATTCATATGATGAATAGAATGTAATATTAAAATAACTTTGTACTAAGTACATAACCAGGCGCGTTTCTAATTTGCACTAAAATAATGATATATAATTTGCACCACTGCAGATAGTCGAAAATAGTGAATTTAATTTGCATCAAAATAAGTGCCTAGGTATTCGATTACTTGATATTCCTTAAGTTGATTATTTAATTGATAGTTATTGTTTATAATATTAAAACTCTATAATTGTTTTAAAATTATTTTTTTCCAAAACTAATAGTTTTATGAGTATGATATTAAATAATATTATACTCGTCCAATATTATTATAGGTCAGGTAGGTTTTAACTTTTTAAGTCAATACTGACGTAGATAGGTACAGTAGAACGGTGAAAATAGGTAAGTAAAATAACCTAGGAATTGGTTATGTGGTTGGATACCTATAAGTTTTTATAATCGTAACAGTGGTGTGCTCGGTGCTATGTTCCCACATTCCTCCTTGTTTGTTAAATTTCATAGATCATAATATTATATTAATTTATTATTATAAATTAAATGAGGTGAATGGTTTTCGAAGATAAAAAAGTACACAATTAAATTAAATGTATTATTTATAATATAGAGTGAAAAGGTGATATTAAATTTGTACGAAAGAATATTACGAACCAAAAATTTAACAGCTTTTGTGAAAAAAAATCGGCACTATACTATTACAACCTTAACTTTTAGAACTAAATTTCTGACTTTTCGTTCCTCACAACTCACCACTATTAATAGGTGATCAATGTGTTTAGAATTTTAATTTATATGAAGTAATATTAGTTGCTTGTTATTTATATTGCATTTTAAATCATATCCATTATGATTTAAGATTACAATTACCGAAGAGTGCCATATCTTGTGTTTCATGTGTTGTTTTTATATTATTTATGCGTCTATGTCAGTCAACTTTATTATTTATTGTGTTATTAAATACAGATTGTACATTGTACATGTAAAATTTAGAACATACGTAAATGTAATAGATTGATGGATTTTTTAATTAAAGGAGCTGGGTTTATAATAATTTAAGGAATAATTAATTACTTGATCAGATAGGTATCTCGTAGCTCATAGTATATCTATTTACATATATTTATTCTTTGGTAGAACTTGAAGCAACTTAATGATAGTTGTTTTAAGTCATTGGCAACATTAATTTATAATGGTCAATGGTCATTAGACATATGTTGTTTTTTTTAACTTACATGTCCTGACAAATTATTATCCTTGTTATTTTTTAACTTTTTCATTTTAGATTATGAACGTAGCGACGAATGTATTGGTTTTACATTGATGTGTGTTTTTTTCTGTCTGTCATCAGCTTTTTGGGTAGTAAAATTGCCCCAATTATTTACTTCAACATATTTTCTGATAAAAATTTTCTTTAATTTTTTAATTTCTTCAATTTTCTATTAAGTATTTAAGTGTCATATTGCTTCATTCTCATCACAATGTAATTTTGAACAATTACTGCCCCTGATAATTTCATATTTATGCTCAAAATATGGAAATTCAAGCCTATATTAAGCTGAATTTCCAAGAAGCTTGGCTCGGCTCATGGCTCGTGGACAGTGACTCAAGTTTGTTAATGTCTCAAGGCGAGTACACACAAGAGCAAAAAAAAAATATATTTGATATTTGTTTAGATATTTTATTCTCACATCGCAAGTATGTGAGCAATCAAATGCATTTCGTTTGTTCGAGTGTACGGAATATACAATGCATACCATGCATTGAACAATATTTACCATTTGCTCCAACACAAAACCAAAATAAGCGTCCATACGATGACTCGAATGCTCTGAGCATGACTGAAGTACCGACAGTAATCGGCGGCTCTCCAGCATAGTTAATAATAATTATAATAATAATTTATTATCTTTGTACTAAGTATGTATAGTATTCATGATGGTAGTATTAGTATAATCAGTAGATTGTTTTTCAATTTATTAATTATTTGTATTCTTAAAGCGATAAGAACTCGCTCCCCCAGCACAAACTTTGCTTTTGGGTGTACTGCAGTACCTATGGTATTTGATGTATATATTCTTTGCATCATTTATCTTATTGTTGCAATAATAATGTTCATTAAAATTATTATTATCCATGATCGTTTCATTTGTTTACGAATAATATGCTCTCGTATGTGCGCCTTTTAAATTATTACATACGTGCTGTGGGTAATACTGGGTGTGGTCATGGTTGCCCGCAGTGGGTGCAGGGTTACATGCCCCACCCCCCGCTATTTTGGTATATATTAATTGTTTATCACGTCTTGTAAAAAACAAAAAACAATAGTATGTGCTGTGTTATCATAGATATTTGACTTCCCTCCCCCCACAGTTAGCTTATATTTTTTAGGGCTCCCTTGGGGCCTTGGATATGTTGATAATTGGTATAGTGTGAGACGCGCCGCGTTACTCATCAAGTGCGTTTCCACGGCCTTGTTTATAGTTGGATTTAGTTAGGTTTAGTTGGTTTTAGTGAGGTTTAATCTAACCTAACGCCGCGGCCGCTAACGGCATTTGCCAGTATTATACATTTAGATTTAAATTGTTTCTGGTGTGTCCAATTCTTAGGCGATTTATAGTTGTTTCGTTTTTTCGATTTAGGTTAGGGTTTTCCCATCTGAATATTGTGCTCTTGATCTGGTTTAATTTAGTGGTTTGGCTTTTCCATAGGATTCGCCATTTTTTTTAATATTGGTTTTTGTGGAGTTTTTTAAGTCATCGTAAGAGAGGAGGTCTAGTGCGTTTATGTCTGTGTCAGATTCATCAATTTTGGCGAATTAGTTCGCAGTTTCATTGCCTATAATGCCGGTGTGTCCTGGGATCCAAATGAGTGTGATTTGGTTTTATATTGGTTTTGGGTTCATCTAGTTTGTTTTGTATGAGGAATGTTATGTAATGTTATGTTTTATATTATTTTAATACTGTTTATGGCACTTAAATAGTCACTGAGGATTAAGAAATTAGTGAGTTCCGATGTGTTAATTTAATAGGAATTTATAAATCATAATTTATATTACTAAAAGTATCTACCTACCTAATTTATATCTCCTTTGGTGCTGAGCATGAAATCCAAATATCCTTTTTTGAACCAAATTCTTTTTAAATTTAAATATACTTATATATGGTAACACAATATGTCATAGGCAAGTACCTACAACCTAAAAACTACAAGTAAACACAGTCTACAACTTAAAAGTCCATAAAATCTTATAATTTTTGAGATTAAATTGACCCCATCTGTTTATAATTGTAGTATATTTACGACAAGTCAAAAAATAAAACAATACTATTACAGACGTTTATTAAATACGATTTTAAATTGGTTTTTAGCAGAAGATAGAGCTACTTAATTTAATTCGCCAAACCGTTAATTTTTTTATAATTATTAATTATTGTATTTTCTATTATACAGATTGTAAATATTTAATTTCATAATGAAAAAATTAATAATAACTGGCTTTTTCAAGAACTTAGTGTATGCAAGCTTGAAAATTTAATACAACGTTCCTCCTACCTAAGTAGTTTTTAAGGAAATTAAAAAATATCGAAAATATGTGGTCACAATTTCTACAAAATTTGTTAAAATCACAAACATTTAGGTACTTAAAATAATTATGTTAATTATATATGTACTAAAATATATCTGTAAAATCAATTTTATCACACTAAATAGTGTAAGTATGCACTTAAAATATCATAAATAAAATTTGTATATTTATAATAGTAAAGGTCAGAACACTTTACACTATTATTATTGTACACTGATAAGTGTAATTCCTAGTAACTATTAACTATGCTATAGTATGAGGTAGAGTAACCACCTTCAATAAGTGACAAAAATAAATAATATAATTATAGCATATTGTATATAAATACAAAATACAAAAATACCCAATACTTTCTCAGTACCAACTATTGCAGTTTCACACCATCATTGTAAATATAATTAAGTTCACCATTTTAAATACTCATAATATTTTTAAGTGTTGAATTTATCTTATTATTTCTAACATCTAAATTGACAAAATGAAACATCAATATTAGATCAAACTAACCAAAAAGAAGACAATTACTGAATACATAATACGATATAGTATATACTGAGTGGATAAAATTATACATGGCAGAATTTTACAAAATAAAAATTAATAATTTAAATAGTATGATTTCAACTGAAGGAATTATTAAGAAATTCCCTTTAAAAACATACAATTACTGTGCAGATTCAAATATCATTTGTATGCATAGATTTAGTTGTTCAGGTAATAACTTTATTCTTTAATAAAATAATAATTTAATAAAAAAAAAAAAATAATAAGAATAATAATAATAACTCACAACTTAAGTAACAGATGTACAAACTTGTCACATAAAGTTGCAATGGGTGTACATGTGTTCAATAAATAAAAATTAATAAAGCATATTTTTTTTTATCAACTCATGGTCTTTCAAGAATACATTGCATTGGTATATACTTAAAATATATTGTATAATAATACATATTTAGTGTATATTCTAATATCTATTTATTTATTTAATAAAAGGTAGGTGGTACAAAATACAAGAAAAAACATTGATGTCACTCTTAACAATAAAATAATCTTAATTTTTACAAGTCTATAGCACAGAAAATACTATTTTGTTTATAACTAAAAACATACAAGGTAAAATAATATTTATGTTCTTTTTAAGTCTTATATTCTAATGAGAAGGAAGTTAGGTAGATTGGTTTTATCAATAGTGTGGACATTGTCTAGTTTGGAAATACGGGGCACACACACACACACTCACACACAATCAAACATAGACACACACTAACACATAGAAATACCAAAGTATCATACATTATTGTATTACACATCTAATTGTGACTTTGTGGATGATACGTCTGTTGGGATTCTTCTAGCCAATGTGTTTTGTTCTGTCGTACCCCTTCAATTAATGGCTCAAGTTTCTCTGACAGATCAGCAATTGCCTGTCAATGAAGAATAAGGTTATACTCAATTAAAAATGTATCATCAATTTTAATTATTTATTTATCTAATACCATAGGACATTTACTGAATAGATTTTTTTTTATTTGATGTATCAAAATTAGGTATATGGATTTTTTAATTTTGAAACTTTTTATTTTTTCTTATAATAATACATTCTTAACCTACATAGGTTATTTACATCTGCAAATACTAACAGAAAGGTAATTTTATTAACTATTTTAACTCGATAATAATTAAGAATAATAACAAGAATAATATATAATTTTGTTGGTTAGACTTTTAGGCAACATGTAGTGGTGTAGAGATGACAAATATAAAGAAGAATTAATATAATTTAGAAACTAAAAATTGGAATTCAAAAGTAAATAAAAGTTATTAATTTAAACTCACCTGATATATGGGTAAACAAATTGAGTCAATGAATCCAACTTGCATCATTGGAAGCTGATCTTCCTTTTCTCGATTCATTATGTCCTAAAATAAAAAAATTAATTGTGTGTGTGACAAAATAAGTTTTACGTGAAATGTATGTATCAAACTATCAACCATACTTACAATAGGTGTGATATTAAATTTTCTTCTTTCTATGTCACCCTGTTCAAAAAATTCATTAGTCACCAATTCAGCCACCTAAACATAATAAATAATTAACACATTTAAAAATGTATTACTAACACGTAGTAGGATAATCAATACGTATACCATTAGTATAGCGTATAGGTAAGTGAATAACCATTGGTTATAAATACTAGTGTATAATAGTGTAGCACATACTCGTTTTTCAATCTCCCATGGTTTGGTTATGGCGGCCAAATCACACACAGTCATTAACATGGCTCTAAAAAGTTCTCTATCTTCTTCTCTGGTCCAGTCGTACATACCCGTACGGACTAGTTCTAGGAACTTCCCTCGTTTTCTATAAATATTTAATTAAAAACGTTATATTTTAATCTGACAAATATAAGTATATCTTATAATACTAAAATAAACTATTTAAATTATAAGATATTGAGATACGCACTTGATATAAATTACATTGTTTCAAAAACTACACAAGATTTCAAGTTTTAAGTTAAAATATGAATATAATAAATAATAAATATGGGTTTGACTAACAGTTTTATAAAAATAATTTAATAATATCTAACCTGAAGTATACAGCTAAATCAGTGGCTAATATAGCATCTTCTAATACTTTTATAACGCGAGAATACTCATTTGGTGATAGGTTACCTAAAATTTGATTACCCTAAAAAAAAAAATTTTCATGTTAATAAAAACAATTTAAAAAATATATAAATTAATCACATACTTGACTGTTTAATATCATTAAACACTGGTCAAAATGATGATGTTCCATGGTAGATGTTGAGTAGAGTTGTGCAAGTGGAGAGGAAACCCTAAAAGTAGATAATAAACATAAAAATAAAAATAAAATCATACAATAGAATTTACAATAGACAGAAAAGAATATTTTATAGGCAACATGGGCATCTTACTTTATTTGAAAGGAGTTGTTGGTTCCACGATGGTCCAAATCATGGCAAAGACAAGCAATAATGAGGGCAAGACATTCCAAGTCACCAAAAACTTGCCACCACCGTGTTGCCTAGAACAAATATTTAATAAAATAATATAAAATACTTTATTTGAGTCTTAATAGTGTAAACGTACAGTAATAATGGAAAACATCATCTGAGCAACATTGAATGCATGCCTCCAGTTGTGGTATGTTACTGATCGGTAATTTTTTTTGACGCTTAATAGCCATCGGCACAAGACCTGATAGTCAATATGAAAAGGTTCAACTAAATCCATATCCATAAACATTCGTATGCTTGCCTGAAAATGAAAATAATTTTGAATTTTAATATTATCTACAGAGGAAAAATATTATACTTTTATACTTTGTATACTTACTAGTAATGTATCATCATCACTCATATAAATATCATCAAAAGAAAAATCATACAAATTGTACGTAACAGCTGATGGAACTTGCAAAGCCTAAAAAATGAACAACATTAAACCCTCGAAACAATTTTCATTAGATAAAATAGATTGATTTACTCTCAATTTTTGTGCGTCTTCCAGTGATGCTGAAGCGTGGTAACTAAGCACATCCAACGTAACATTTTGTTTTGCATTGGCAATAATGGCTTTCTCGAACCTACGAATTAAACTACCGAGTAACAAACGTAAAATCCTAATCGTGGGCACGGTGAAATTATGCCAAGTGCATTTGGACTAGTGCACTTTTACTTACTTACATGTGTGTATTATGTATTCCCATGCCACAAAATATGGCAAACGCTTCCACGAAGTTCTCATCGTTTTTGGTAAATAAGAGATCATCAAACTTGTTAACTAACTGCAACACAAACAATTTTGGGGTTTAGTATAAATCGTTCGTTATTTCATAAATCGCTATCTACGCGTAAACAAGTAACCGGGCCGATTTCGGAACGGACGATATATTACGGTAACGTAACACTATTTTTATTTATTATTATATATATTTTTGTTTTTTTTTGCTTACTTGTATCACTCCGATTATTTGACCGGACGAATTCTTGATCGGCATGCACAGCACGGTGGAGTGTTTGAATCCAGCGTCTTCGTCCACAGACTGGTCGAAACGGCTGTCTTCGTAAGCGTTGGCAATGTTTACAGTCTGAAAACGATAGCAGTTCGTGATGAGTTTGGTTAAAGATTATGTACAACCGTGACCGCTGCTCAAGTTTCAATTGGATTATTCACGTTTTATTTGCGTCGTAATAATATTTTAGTGACGATTTTTTTCTCATCCCCGGCAGGACGACACTATAATATAATCAGGCCCGTCGCTAGGGCACAAGCGAGCCATGCGTTCCTCTAGGTTGGCATGCAATTTTAAAGAAATTGAAGGAGGCGATATTAAATAAATATCGATTGAGAAGAGCGGCATTAAATTTGTCGATTTAGGGTGGAAAATATCTGAACGATGGGCCTGAATATAATACAGTATAGTATACGGTCCGACATAGGGTATTATAATATTATGGACGTTAACGAGTTTGAAGAAAACGGCTTTACGATTATACGATCGTGTTGCATAATATACGTAGGTATTGGAGTAATGATGATTAGTTTTTTATTTTTTGTTGTTGTTGTTGAACAATCTGGGGACGTTTCGGTCTAAAAATAATTCGAGAAAGAAACTAATCATCGCTGTAATCCGGTATAACAGTCGACAAAAATAGAAAAACACTCTAAAAAAAAAAATATTATTCTAATTTTGTTTAACCGCATTAACGGGATATAGGTACGGTGTAAATAAGGAGTAAACAAATAAATACATTTTTTAAATGTGTAATATTTTAACAGGGTAATCGTGACATAACCAGTTTATTTATATTCTTTAGAAATATAAATAAAATAAAAATCGTATGCGTTTAATGTTTGTATTTTATTTGGAGATAAAAACACGAAGAAACTTAAAATATAAAATATATTTTATAGGATGTTTATTATAAATGCATTAATTAACGTTTTTAAGTGCATTAAATTCCTAACCCTAGGCTTATTATTCACACCGTTGCAGTGTATGTTTGTTACGCTTACCTCTCCGGTAGTGGCCACGTAACCGGTTATACCGATGTTGACGGGAAATCTGCTCTCGAAAGGGCTAAAAAATGACGGCACTGTTAATAGTTACCTAGGTCATAAAAAGGAGGCTAGGAATAAATCGTTTAATCTCTTACTAGTGTTGAGAATTTTTTTATTTTCTCCTTCTCCGCAAAGAAGGAGAAATAGAAGGAGACTTTACCTAGTCCTCTCGTTGTCCTTCCCCTGCAAGTCGTTCGCTTCCAAGTCGAACACTCGAGAAAAGCTCGCTTTCGACGCCTCATGTAACAGTAATACCTGTTGAATTTAATATTACTCATTAGTTAGCTTAGCTTATTGTATTCCAATTATTAAAATACCAAATAATTTTCATTCGTTGATAATTTGAAATCGGACGATCAGAGTCATGCAAACAACCATCCTATGTATTAATTGTATATTTGTATGTTTTGTTCATTAAAATAAATAGGCTTCGATGTACATAATATAATATAATAATTTATAATGCATATAATGTACACAATTTAAATGTGAAAATTAATGAATGGTTTATGATCTTATTCATTTCTGAGTTATCTTATAATATGTTGGTTAAATATTATTATAACCATTTAATTCAGAACAAAAACTACCTGAACGATTGATAAAATTAAAATTTTAAGAAAATCGAGTATATTTCAATGTTGAAACAATTAAACACTTCCTACAGGATTAAATAAAAAATTGACCGAAATAGGCTGTCCTACACTTTTACTTGCTTTGAAAATAATTATTTCATAAAATATATAAAAATCAACAAAATTCACGAAAAATAAGCATAAACTTTAAAATTATCATTTTCTTTAAGTTGAAATACAAAATATAGAGTTTTGGGGAAGTGTTCTTCACCAGGGGCGGATGACACGACTCTGATTTACATGAATGATAATTTTATCATCACAGTATTAATATATACAAGTACCTGGACCCTCTGACATTGTATAAGCGATTGAGTATGGGTGAGGATTCTAAAAACCATATGCTCTATTGTGCTCTGTTCTTCGAAAATCATACGCGCGAGATCCAATAGTACCTGATTAACAAACATAATAATAATTTATAGATATAAAATATTATATCATATCAAGGTGACCTATTTATCATAATTTGACCTAATTAGATTACACACCTGATTCCTTTTCACTTCCAACTGGCTTTTTTCGTAAAGCTGTGCGTTTCTGAGACCAATGCCACAGAATTGTAAATAGTCTGAGAAAACTTTCTCGTCGTTTTGAGTGAAGCATGGTGCATTTTTTTTATTAATTACCTGAAAATTATTAAATAACATTAGTAAAATGATGTTACAACGACGAACGTCTTTCAAAACTTACTTGTGCTACACCCATTACTTCCCCATTGAAGTCTTTGATCGGCATGCACAGTAAACTGTGAGTTTTATAACCAGTACGGGCATCGATATCGTGGTTAAAACGTGTATCCTAAAAACAACAATAGACTATTTAAAAAATTTATTATTATTTATTATTTCTATTGTGATACAGGAGCCTTGAAAACACCACAATCTCAAGAGAACACTACACCTTGACCCAACATCGGGGCATCGGGTTTATCAATGGAAAAGTAGTTTATTTTTTTTTGACAATTTATAAGTAATCAGCAAACGGAAACATCTAAAACAGTGCTAGCCGATAGGTGCACTAGTATTACGTGTAATAAATTATTAAATCATACTTTGTAAAAAAAACCAACAACTAACAAAAAATTCAAGATTTAAAGGCTAAATGAAATACGATTAAAATTTGATTCATCTTCTAAAGCATCACCTACACTATTTTTTTTTTTTATTATTATGAGGTTAACATTAATATTGAAATAACGTATAGACGCATAGTAGGTACACTATTTTTCTGTGATACTAATATGTAGGTATACGACTTATATTGTTATATTAATATTATAAATGCGATGATTGTTGTCTTAGAAATCATATTACTATTTTGTTCGTAGATTTCAGTTTCCCGAGTATCTAAATAATATTTAAATAAGGTAGTTATTTTTATGTTCAGAATAAAAAGAAGATTTTTATTGTTTTAATTTTAAGAAAAACAGCTATTGAGCTATTTTGGTTTAAACTTTAAATATAGAATAAGGGCATTTGTTTGTAAAACCGGTTCTTCTTGTTGACAATGTACGAGAGGTTAAAAACTGATCTCCGATAAAAAATTACATAACTACAATAACACTAACGGGGTCATAATTTAGTATTCAGTTTTTTATTTTTCAATAATTTGGGTAACATCCGTTTTGCATGATGTACCTATCAGTAAAAACATAAAAGGTTGGGTGGATAAAAATTAAAAACATGTATCGTTAAATAATCAAAGAGACTAAAGATAATAAGATATTTGTATTTTTTGTCGAAACATTTCATGATGCACACTATGTGAAATAACACTTCAATATAATTGGTACCTCAACTGCATTATTGTAAACTGTAAGCAATCATATACCTACTTATACAATAATATAGTAACGTAGGTACTAGAGAGCCAAAAACTGTATTTTAGATTGGTAAAGCACATTACTTTCTATTTATAACAAACAAAAATACACTTTGGAAGGGTTAAATAATAATTTTAAATATAAAATTAGGGCCAAAATAAAGTGTATAATCTCGTAATAACAGCTGTGATTGATCTGAATGATTTATCATTGTTCGACAATGAGGTAGGTCCTGCATTATTATTTATTATTGAGTACTTAAATTATGTTAAGCATAAAATGTCGCCCATTTACCTTGTACGCGTCTGGTATGTTGACGGGTTCGCCGCTTTCGGCCACGTATCCGACGATACCAGTGCCCCACGGTATGTGTATTTCTTTTTTCTTTTCCATCTCCTGCAACGTGGACCGCGAGCACACGTCAAACAGCTTGGACACCAAACACTTGGACTGGCAGCCCTGGAAGTGGTGAGAGGTAGCCGCGTTCATCGACGTCTGCAGCGAACCGACGTTGGTGGACCCTATCGGCGACCCAACAGTCAGCCCCCCGACGGCCGCTTCTTCGACTGGAACCGCCACTTGCGGGGCCGGCGCGTTGAGTGACGCAATAGGAACACGTTCGTTGCACAACGACGACGACGACGACGGAGACGACAACTGACGGTGCAGGTTGCGGTGGCTGTAGTTATTGTTGTTGTTGTTTTGATGATGGTGATGGTGATGGAGGTGATGGCTGCTGTTCGTGGGGATGTGGTGCAGATGGTTCTGTTGGGGGTGGAGGACTGCGGGGCGGTCTTCTGGGAGGTGCGGTTCGTCATTCACGGCCACGCTGGATGCAGTCGTGGCGGATATAGTAGAAGACGTGCCGGAGGCGATGGAGGTGGCAGTGGCGGCTGTGGTGGCGGAATGGTCGTCTTTGCTCAGGCAGCCGACGGTTATGCTAGCGTGCGGTCTCCGCGGGCTGCACACGCGCTTCGCGGGCCGGTGGTGGTGGTCGTGTTGGCACGCCGACAGGCCACCGCCCTGGACCAGGAACAGAGAACCACGGTCGGCGTTCAACAGCGTGCTGACGTTCTGCAGGATCTTGTGGCACAGCGACCGCACGTCCAGTTCATTGCATATGTCTTTCACCTGTAGAACAAACAGTACAATATGAAGTTATGGTAATTAATAATTATAATCATCGAGCCGATCGAATTCGATAGCTGTAGCAATACGCATTGTGGTAGTGTTTTCCGGGAAGGATGACTGCATTTATATGTAGAAAATAATTATATAAGTATATTAAGCACACAGTTAAGAATAGTAGGTACCTATAGACAGTGCTCAAAAAAATTACAAAAACGTACAGATTATTATTTCCATAACTCATAGACAAGAGCAGAAATTTGTCTTGGGAAGGAGGGCAAGTTTGTTTTTATAAATAATAATTAATAATATATTTTTTTTAAATCTTGCATGAAAATCTACTAAATCTAATACCTTTTATATGAATAATCAATGTTTATTGTAATTTTAAACTTGGAGTGTATAAAATCGTTATCACGCAGATACCTTATAGGATTCAAAGTATCTCATTCTGACAGGAAATTGAAATTTCCTTATAACAAGAATTCATAATTACTCAAATTTATTACAAATATATAAATATTTCCGTTCACATAAAAAAATTCAACAAATGAGCGACGGCAGCGAAGTATATTATCATGTACGTGGGTGACACAAACACACACACACACTGACGAAAAGGAATACCCTGTACAAAGTTAATTACAATTTCATGTACGTGTGCATACATCACAGTTCATTAAAATGCAGATCTCGTGTTGCGTTCCCGCAAACACCAATTGATTTGTATAAATTCCAATAGCGGCGGGGCATTAATGAGCCCCGCTTGTCCAAGGTTTAAATATATCCAATTAATAGTTGTTTGTATTTGTACGTATTATGTGTAATATAATATTATGATATATGTGTTTTCGGTGATGCAGGCTATAGCGAAGAGATGACTTTTCCGTATGACACTACTTTGTAGTTTCACGTGACATCGGTTATATTGTTTGTGGTTTTTCGTCACCGACGCTACCTCGATCGTCGCTAATTCTGCAGAATGCTTATTTTATGTCAACTTTCGCTTTATCCCTACATAGCGTAACGTTATTACATACATAACAAACATACTTTGAGTACGCATTTGCCACACGTCCCTTGGACTGTTGACTGTTGTCATGCGAGAAAGTGAGATTGAACTCAACTTAAAGCATCTACAAACTTGAGAAGGAGCATACATTGTGTATACTTATTTAATAATTATTTTTGTTTTTTCCATGTTCATTTTTTTTTAGCAAAAATGTAATTTTTCTTTTATAATCATATTATCAATACGTCCGGGCGCATATAATATAGCAGATTATTCGCATAGCTGCACCCACTTTTAGTTAAAAATCTATGCCTAAATAATATCATATACATTAGCGATTCTCAAACTGCTTTGATTCGCACCTCCCGTCAATAATGTGGATTAGACTGATCAAAACTTTAAATGTTGGTAACCTATATAGTACATATGTGTATACTATACCTACATGAGTTTATTATTGAGTAGGGTTTCAACAATGGAAATAATAATTAGAAACTTAAAGTCGCCGTCAAAATTATACGATGCAATAAATGACAGTTACAGTAAGTTAAAGTGCTGAGTGTCCGAGTTTTATTTACTGTACCTATTATTATTTAAAAAAAATACAAATCATCATTTTGTTTTTTGCATATTTTAAGAATTCTTAGCACAATAAGTCCCAAACCCTACACAACAAGTATATACGTCAGCACGGGGGTGGGGTGTCAATGTAAAGTCTTACCAATTCGAAAATGAGCTGCTTTTCGTCTAGTTGCCGGAGCTCGTGTCTGGACCGTCTCCTTGCCACCGGTGCTGTGGTCGTCTCGTCCGGGTGTTCGTAAGACGCGAGGAATGTGGGTGTACCGTCCACAGTGGTCACCATGGGCTTGAGGCCGCCTCGTTCGAATTCGTGTGCTGATATCTTTCGCACCGGTGTGGTGGTGCCACTATTGCCACCACCTCCACCACTACAACCTGACGTGCCTACGGATTGCTGTCGTTCGATGCCCGTGGGCGTCATCGTCGCGTTTCCGCCGCTACTTCCTCCACCACTTCCGCAGCCACCACCGGCGCCGCCACTAGCACCGCAGCTGCTGGCTGAAGCGTGTGAAACGAGCCAGGCGTCCACGATATTTCTGGTAGCTTTTCTAAACACACAAAACCAATATTATGGTCAAAATTAATTACTCGTAACATAGAACCTAATCAATAGGTATAATATATAGGTATAGAGACGGACAATTTATCAATTCTTAAGCGTTTACTGCTGTTAGTGGACAGTATTTGATTGCATTTATAACGAGGGTTTGAAAATCTAAAATTGAATAAATGTATAGTGTTATATAGTTTATGATAATATTTAAGTTGGTTTTACTTTAAATTGGTTAAGTGCAGGCCGGTATGTTGACTAAATATATTTATAGTAACCACCAAGCAAAATATTTAATATGTAATAAGCAGTAAGTAGTAAGAAGGTAGTAACTGTATAACAGTAATGAAATCTGATGTAACTATAAGAACAATTGCAATTCAAAAATTCTATAGCAATTAGGTACTTATATTTCACTTGTAAAAAAAAATACATCGTATGGTCAGGTAATGCACTGGATTACCCACTGAAACGTTTATTCTAAGAAATCTACTTTAAAATGCTTTCTTATAGCAAGTCATTTTAAATTCTCAGTCAGACGTACTCGAATATAGCGATGGGATACATATTTTCTCTTTTTTAAAATCTTTCAAACATGCTGCGGCTGTATACAGCAGTAGACACTAGACATATAGTTCATGATGACAGATGAGTAATAATTACCATTCAAGGGACCAGAAAAACAGGTCATAAATAAACGATAGTCATAAAAAAACAAGTTGCAGATAGGAAGTCTTGCTGCAGGGACGTTGAGATCCTATATAGGGTCATTAATCCGTTGTGTTTTTTTTACTACAACGGTTATCATTATAATAGACGACTCTAACTGTACACATTATACGAAGTGAATTTTGCCATAATGGACGCCCTATGTGGTTTTTATATGATAAAAAAACATACATTTCTAAAAATTATAATCATTTTTTAATAATATTTTATTCAAATGCCGGTCCGATCGGTGATGGATGTATAACATGGTCTAAAAATGTCTTTTACACCTGGTACTAAAATAGGTATTCGTATATTACACATTGCAAAATCGATTGTTTACCTGAGAAAATAATCGTAAGCGAATTCCCTGTGCTCGTCAAGCCACGCTTCGATTTTCGCATATTCCGGATCATAGTGCTGACTCCTGGCCGACGGACTTTGCGGTCCCGGGGACGGCAGGGTAGTGATCCGAATCTGCAGTTCTCCACCACCAGCGCATTGCTCTGCAGTCATACGCAAGTCCTCCCCACCACTTCCTCTGGATTGCAATCCTGTAATGAAAGGACACAACAACGTAGGTATAATAATATACGAATGATGTGCACGTAAGTTTTATATGGCCGAAAAGCGGCGAAATTAGAACTGTGTATTTCGAGCACGGTATTTGTATCTGTATATATATAATGCATTAAGCACAGTGCACGTGTTATGGGTACGTTTAGAATTTATATGGGTAAAAATATTAATGGACTTATAATATTACAACGAGGGTGATTATGATTCAACCGATGCCAAAATGCCAAATAGCATACAAACATAATATTAAACGTGTATACGTTTTCGTATTATTTTTTTAACACTGAATTACCCACCAAAACTAATTTATTAAATATTATATTATACAACTGAGCGAGTATGTTATATTCTCGAACCAATGTCATCGTAATAACAAACACAGCCACACGGGACAGACTCGCACCATCACACGTAAAATGTTTGAATAAATTGTGTCCATACAAAGATCGTGTGTATAGTGTATATATAATACTAAAACCACTGGTAACATATACAAATCCATATACATAATATTAAATAAAACACACACCAGTTTGAGTTCTGAGCATAGTGCAGCGGTGAAAACAAAATTTAATAGCAAGCCGGTAAAAAGAAGGTATGCGCGAAAAAAAAAACATTATACGATGATTAATAACCTTCGATCAGAATCCACATAAATTATACATAAACGTATACGTATAAAATATGTACCATCGTCTGATCGGGTCCGAATTAATTTGTGTGCAGCAGCCCGACAGACATGGATATTTATTTATTATCATTTGTGTCATTAAAATATTGTTTTCTTTATCAATACCCTCGTGATTAAAGTGTACCGCCGGCGAGTACACCGCATTGATGTTCACATACCTATATCTATATAACATAATACACATTTTCCCAATAATTATGCAAAACCAATACAAAGCACGATGATTTTATACATATATATATATACAAGTGAGAGACAAAGAGAGAGAGAGAGAGACGGAGAGAATATGTGTAGCGGTAGACCTATTCTCGATTTCGCTGATTTCCATCGAGTCGATTCGTTATAAAAAGTTGTGACAGCCATATTACGATTGTACGGAGTATATTTTGTGAAAACATCATAAAAAACTTATAATAATAACGCTATACTTGTATGCAAATAATAACGTTTATATTAATGACTTTCGTCGATTGTCAACGTGAACAGCGGAATTCAGGCGAAAAAACCAACCACTCGAGCACGGACGAACACGTGGCCGTAGCGTCGGTTGCTTAGGCCATGCAATATATTATATAAATGAGACGCATCTTAAATTAATAATTGTAAATGATATTATGAATATTTTTTTTTTTTTTTGAAACGTGTTCAGGTACCTGCATCGTCGTTGTTGTTGTTGGTGTTTTTGTTGTTGTTGTTGTGGCGATATTTGGTTCGACGGTACCGATGGTGACCCATACCAAAAGTTTGGCCCATTGAACAATGCACCATCACGCGGTGTGCTTATTGCTGCACAGCCATTAAATTTCGACCGTTCCGCAGGACGTTACAAGGTGACCTTGTCATTGTTGTACACGTATATTGTCGGCGAGTTAAAGCCAGACGCCACGTCCTCTGCACACGCAATGGCACAACAAAATGTAAGGGGAATTCGTTATTTCTTTAAAAAAAAAAAATCAACACTCGGGTCGTAACTAACAGAATGCCAGCTCGGAAAATAAACGTAACTTATAATATTATGACGAGTTCAGAAATTAAAAGTTAAATGTCACCAAGTCTCCGCCCATTTATACAATTTGTAGATTTACCAACCCATTCTTAACAAAATCAGACCAATACATTGCTATAGGAAAATGTGCGTTTTAATAAATTACCATCGTTAAACTTTTAATAGCCTAACAAAACTGAACGATCAAAATCAAGGCATACACAATAATTTATACAATTTTTTTATTTCCATAGGTCTGACCTATTTTTAGTAACATCAGGCTACGTACACGACGCAAATACATCTAAACAGATTATAATAGAATTGGCCGCACCTGTAGTTAGCCATTGAACTCAAATTATGTAACTTTTACTCGGTTGGGCATATGCGTACACCTATACTATTTATTTATACAAAGATTCCCAACATATAATGACTCCTTAAATATTCTCTAGACTCCGGTGATAGGCAAACAAATAACATGGTAAATACGAAATGATAATAAATGACTGTATATAGCCACACACGCAGACAATATGACGTGGAGGTCGAGAATCTTGTACGGCAACTCAGTTGAAAAACCCAATTAGGTACTTCTTTCGTAATATTGTTCAAAACTCGTATATGTATATTATATTATAAATTATAATATTCGTGGAATAATAACGTGTCTTCCTGCTCTGCCAATAACAAATTCACCGTCAACCTAGTTTAGTCTTCACCCATTTGACTTCAATTCGCCAAAGTATTATATTATAGAAAATAATTATTTTTGATTTTGAGCAAATAGAGAGATGAATTGGTTTTATTTTACAATCACGTGTTGTTTTTTTTATAATTAGTGAAATAGCCACCCTGAGGAAAAAACAGTATAATTACGAAATTGAATGCATAGAGTCCATAATACAAGTTTTTAACGAAATCAACATTATTTATTTTGATATAAATAAAAAAATAATAATAATCCTTTAGGTTTATAATATCAATTAAATATTTATCAACTATCTATTTAAATATTTTTTCATGAAAATACTCTTTTATACCAGTATTTTAAAATATTTTTTGTTTGTTTTTTGCACAGAAATGAATTTATAGTAGGTATGTCGATTTCGATGGATTGGACATGGATTAATAAATAATAATTACAGTGCTTTCAATAATCACTCAAGTCCCCCTCATGCACTCAAGACTACATACTTAATTCCTGGACAATATGGAAGGACATCTAAACCGGAATAATAGGTCCACGTAAAATTAAGTTAATTGAATAAGCGATGTTTTAACTGTGATCAATGCCATTTTATTATTTTAACAAATTTACTTATTGTAAAAAAAAACCTTCGTGAAAAACACATTTATAAGACTTTTTTTTAAACACCATCATATTATCCAGAAATGTAATGTACTCAATAAGTCTACATTGTTTCAAGTTCCTATACGTATTTAATACTCTGTTGTTTGAAATAAAATATTTTAACAATAATTTCCCAATAAACACAAAAAATAAAATATTTATGTACCTACTACATTCCTTGTCAGGCAAGACAATACGAGAGAAATGAATGTCAATTGTCACAATCGGTCTATTGGAGTAACAATTGGATAATAATTAAAGCTTATTCCGTGACTAACGTTGACAAAAATGCACCTATCACTGAAATTACTTTAGTTCTAACAATTCCTAAATACAATTTGGAGATTTGATCCAACCACGTTACCACTCGATTGCGTCCAAGTAGAGGATAAAGTTCTAAGTATACAATGGAAATTAAATATTGGACAAACATTTGAGCCATAGATATATACATTTATTAAATTATATATATATATATATATATATATAAAAGGGAAAAAACCAATTTTTAGTAAAAATCAGTTCCGAAAACGGCTAAATAAAAACCCCATTTGCAGCTTTATTTGATTCTGGTAAAGTTATCTCAAGAACTAATAAATAAACTCGAAGACTTACGAATAATTTTTTCTCATTTCCTATAATCTTTTGGGGTTCAATGATCCTTATTCCTCCTTTCTCCATTTTATCAGCTTTCACGTGCAAAAACTCTTTCACCAATTATCCCGGTCCCGCAATATGTGTACGGTTGGTACGTATATAACGCAAGTATACATGGTATGTACAATATGCATACATGTGTGGTCATCAATGCATGTGAATAATGACTTCGACGAACTACCCTTTTAAAGACTTCTGTCGACTGGATAGAATACATAGGACGCAACAAACATAAAATAAAATTCACTTAGTTGTTAACCAATACTACGAAGGACCTGGACCTTACAAACTACACCCGACGAGAGCTAGTCGGACAATGTACATTTATGTATTATAGGTATACAAACATACATGTAGACATATATATAATATATATATATATATATTACGTATTAACTGTCAGTAACGATTATATTATAACAACAGCACGTCGAACACGCATATTAGATGATACCGAGTTCGAAGAGACATAAACAGTAATAAATGTTAAAGTTCTAATCTCGTGAATGAAGAGATTTCTGATGGGGGTTAGGTTATCACTTTTCCGACCGGAAATACTAAAGTGCAAAATATTACCAAACGAAATGCGCATCTTTCGAACGGGCGCGGCGCTTACGATAAACATGCGATACGCGTATAGTTACGTATGTGGTAACTGGTCACCCAACCCTACATATTTGAAAAAATAAAAAAATAAATATCTTTTTAAGTTTTGTATGATTGGTATACTACATTTATTATTGATTAAATTTGTTAATAGGTAAAACATTTTTCTTACAATCTTGATGCATAAATACTGAACCAATATACCTAGTTTATTGTAAACTAAAATATTGTAGTTGAATTACTTTAGAATATAATATGAATAATGGATGAAAATACGTAATGATACATAATAGTTCTTAAAAAAACACTTCAAAACGATAATTCTATAATAATTTCGGTTTTATTCCATAATAATGGCAATGATGTTATGATCAATGCTCATCGAATATTGTATGTGCACTCAAAATTAATGACTGTAGTCTATATATACATCGTGGGTGTATGGTGCGTGTACCGGGAACTACTGGTTTCGGAATTGATACTTAGTCGATTAACGCGAAGAAAATATTGATTCGACAGTAGTACATTGTACGCATATTATGTACTCAGACGAAACGCATAATAATATGAATGACGCAAAATGATTTATCTAGTAAGTAATGATATATAGGTATTCCATTATGATCGAACAATAAAGCCGAAATTAAATCTATTGAAGATACATCATAATATAGTCACTGTT